TACACTCAGCTAATTTTTGTTTTTAAATTGGAGCTTCACTGCCCAATGGAGTAACAAACAGATAATTTACATCTAAGTTTGCATCGCCCCAGACCACATTTCACTCAGTCTGTGCCTTTTTAAAACTGCAACCAAAACAATCTCTGTTGACCTCTGTGACCGATAATGTAACAACCTGAGTCCAAAGGTTCTCCTTGTCACTCTATCCTGAATCTCCATGTGATGCACAAATGCTCTTCTGGAAATTTAATGCCCAAAAATGGACACTACATTGCAAATCATTTTCTTTTTTTTAATCTTGGATGGACTGTTGTTCTGAATTTTTTAGAGTTAGAATTAGAATTAGCTTTATTGTCACATATACTCAAATGAGTGCAGTGAAAAGTGTATAAGTCATCACTTACAGCAGCATCTTAGGTACAAGGTCCCGAGGTACAACTTCTTCAGTCACAGATCTTAGAAAAATAGAGAAATAAAATGTCCAGCATTGCAGATTCTAGAAATAAATTATAAAATGGAGAAAAAAAAGATGTTCAATACAGCCATCTTCCAACCCAGTCCATGCTGGTACATAGCCTCCAGTCTGCACCTTGGCTCTAGACCGGAAATCCATGTTGAGGCAACGCTGGGCAGGGAGACCACCGTGATGGGCCAGCAGGCCCACACGCCAGGCCACTATGCCAGGTCGCGACGACGCATTGTCAGGTCTGAGCTGAGTCTGGGAGTTCGCAGGCTGGGAGTCCCAAGGCTGCAAGGTCAGAAGCCAAGAGTTCTGAGGCCAGGAGGTCGGACCCTGTGAGCTTCGAGGCCGGGAGGTCGGACCCTGTGAGTTCCAAAGCCAGGAGATCAGAGGTCACGAGCTCCAAAGCTGGGAGGTCGGAGGTCATGAGCTTCAAGGCTGGGAGGTCAGAGGTCATGAGTTCCAAGTTTAGTTCAAATTCATTACTCCAATTTTGTACTTTTCAAGGTCTGTAATGCTAGCCTTTTTATTTCTTTATTTTTCCAAATTTTTTCCCTAAGAAGTTGTACTCAAGATTCTGTACCTTTGTATCTAAGATGGTGCCATAAGTGGTGACTTGTAAACTTTTCACTGTACCCAAGCGAGTACATGTGTTAATAAAACTGATTCAATTCAAATCTCTTCTTGTCAATGAACTGCTGATGTATTGGACTGTGACAATCCGTGTTCCAAAATATGAAAGCATTAACTTGAGATGCCTTCCATTTGTTGATTAGAGGAGGGAAAAGAAAGGAAGACTTGCATTTATATGGCAACTGCTGGAAAACATCAGCAGGTCCAGCAGTACTGTGTGAGTGAAACAGAATTAAAGAGGTCATATTGGACTCAAAACATTAAGTCAATTTCCCTCACTACAGATGCTGTCAGACCTGCTGAGTTTCACAACATTTTCAGTTTATATTCAGTTCTCCAGCATGTGCAGCACTTTGCTTTTATTTATATTTATGCCTTTCATGATTATGAGTCATCCTAAAATGTGTTAAATCTAATTAAATAAGTTGTTGAAGTGCAGTTATTTCTGTAAAGATAAAGTTGTAATAGTCTTACCAGACAATAGGGTTGTTCCTTCATTAGAGAGAGATGACTGGTGGTGGTTTAACCTGAGTGTCACCATGCTTCAGGCAAGGGGGAATGGTTGAGAGGGAGAGTCTTCATGTTAACTTCAGCTAATACAGGGATTGAACCCACACTGTTGGTTTAACTCTATTTCACTCTAGGCATTCAGCCATTGAGCTAAATGACTTCAATGCTCTTCCGCAACCTTTTCCCTCACCTGAGGCATGGTGACCCTTAGGTTAAATCACCACCAGTCGTCCCTCTCGAATGCGAGAGAACAGCCTTACAGTCTGGTAAGATTATGGCATCTTTACCTCCTTATTGCTGTAGTGGAGGATAGGTGACAGCTAGTGGTCAGATCCCATAAACCACTAATCATTAAGAAGTGCCAAGCAGCAGAATTAATAAAGAAGCTTCTTTTCCCCTTTTCAGTAAAGAAGCAATGTTAGACAGAGTCAGATTAGATGAAATTTTAAGTGTCATCAAGCTATTTGACTGCGGGAGCATCACAGAATACAGGAAAAGCACTAGCTGCATCTGTTACCGGTTTTAATCAAGGCAGAAAGAGGACCGATTGACTTTTTTGCCCATCCTCGTCTTTCCCCACAGGCGAGGAGGTCAAATGCAGGTCTTGCCTGCTGTGCTTCAGTTGAGATAATCTGACTGAATATAAACTGAGGATTCAAGCTGTAAAATCCTTCATTAGCACTGCAAATCATGCATTTATCCATTAGACCATCTGGGTAGCTCTGCCAAAATGGTTTTAAGCCGATTGAGATGTTTTGCCAGACAGTTCACCAGACAGTTTTGCAATCAGACAGATGTGACATTTGAAAAAAAAGGTGAGAAATGATACCGTCTACGGTTTCTGTTAAGATGTCACTTTACGTTCTGAGACATCCATCCAACCCTCAACACAAGAGACCAGATGGGAGATGATGGGCATTATTCTATTTGCAGTCAAAACACAATGATGTTGCTGGAAGATTGAGACAGTGTTGTTTCCTAAACTCTGCTGTGTTTAGCCATCAAGTATTAGTTTGACTGGAACAAATAGCTTATGGGATCTTGAGGGAAACCAGGATTAATGGAAGCGTCTTTCTCTGGAAATGAAAAATCCCATAAAAGCAGTGTTTTTAATCGTTTCTTTTGGACAATCTATTACATTTCTGTTCATATTTCTAATACAGTAGAGTCTGGACAGTGAAAAAGAATTTCTAACCCTAGCAGTCAAGGAAAGCTGAGTGCTGGCAATACTGTGCATTAGCTTAAAATAAATCCCCGAGTCTCATTTTGCAAAATGTTACTATTGAAATCACTTGCTTTGGTTGCTTACCTAACTCTTGCTCATCTCCCTCCATTCTAAACTTCAGTATTATATTTGTTACTGTTCATCTAGCTCTCCCCACTTCACCCATCACCCCATCTTGACCGTCATCTCCTGAGGGGACACTGGCTGACATGCTGAATGATTTTCATGTGTGAACTGAATCATCAGGGAAGCACCAACCCTTAACATTCTACCCCTTTCGGCCTCCAAAATGGGACAGAAACCCATGTTTCTAATTGAATGATGTAGTAGAAGTGAAGGGCTGAATGGCCAATTCCTGTTCCTTTCTTTTTCATTCCTTTATAGGATGTGGGCATTGCTAGCAAGGCCAGTATTTATTGCCCATTCAAAATTTTCCTTGAAATGAGTGGTTTATTAGGCTATTTCAGAGGGTGCTTCCTTTTAATTCATTTATGGGATGTGGGCCTCGCTGGGCCAGTATTTGTTGCCCCATCTCCAGCTGGCCTTGAGAGAAGGTGGTGGTGAGCTGCCTTCTTGAAGTCCTACAGCCTATTTGAGTATGTACACCATAATGGCATAAGGAAGGGAATCCAAGGATTTTGACCCTTTTGATTTTGAAAGGAACAGCCATCTAATTCCAAGTCAGGATGCTGAGTGTTTTGGAGGGGATCTTGTGCGTCGTGGTGTTCTCATGTAACTGCTGCCCTTGCCCTTCTGGGTAGAAGTGGTTGTGGTTTTGGAAGGTGCTGTCTAAAGATGTTTAAGTGAATTTCTGTGGTGCATCTTATAGATGGTACACAATGCTGCTATTAAGCATTGGAGATAGAGGGGGTGAATGCTTGTAATGTGGTGCCTTTCAAGTGGGTAGCTTTGTTCTAGACAGTGTCCAGCTTCCTGAGTTGTTGTGGACCAGACTAAAGCCCCTAAAAGTATATTAAGAAGATAGCCAAGACCCTAACTTGTTCTTACATTAAAGGTAAGAATGAGGCATTGCATTCCAGATGCAATTTGATGAGTCAAACTACTCGACTTTAAGTACAACACGCTTTTCTTTACACTGCAGTTAAAATATGGACAAAATAAAAATAAAATAAAAGAATTGGCTTAACTGTAACTCTATCAAATAGCTTGACAAAATTATATATATATATATATATATAAACTACTACTAATTAACTATTCCAATATAGTAACATTCATAAACACACCCTTGGCAAAGGTAAATTTAGTCTCACATGCAATGTAGCAGCTGGAAGAGAACCCTAACTTTTAGCTGTAACAGAGACAGGAATAAGAGCTTCCATATTCAGCTTCAAGATGCCAGCAACTGCAGAAAGCTAAAACTAAAAATCCTGTGGGAACTCCCCCCCCAACCCTCATCCCCATTCAAGCTGCTTCTACTGTTCCAACTTTATTTTAAAAATCCTAAGGCTTCACAAGCTGTTTACTTTATTGGCTTTGAGCAGGGCACTTGGCATCTCTGTCTCAACCTTTCTTCATTAAAAAAAGGACAAAATACTCCTCTTAAAGCCATTGTATCATCACAGAGTGTTGTTGGAACTGCACCCATTCAGGCAACAGGGGAGTGTTCCATCACACTCCTGACTTGTGCCTTGCAGACTGTGGACAGGCTTTGGGAGCTGAGTTGTTTGCTGCAGTATTCTTAGCTTCTGACCTGCTCTTGTAACCATAGTGTTGATGTGACAAGTCCAGCTGAGTTTATGGTCAATAGTTACCCCCAGGGTATTGGAAGTGGGGATTCAGTGATGGCAAAACCATTGGATGTCAAGTGGGGGCAGGGGTAGTTAGATTGTCTCTTATTCTTGATGGTCACAGCCTGGCATTTGTATGGCACGAATATTCTGGGTATCCCAGAAACTTATTCAATTGGCAAGATCCCCAACTCCAAGACAGGATACCACTCACAAAATCTAACAGATCAGAGAGAAACTGTTCAGTCCTCTATACCTGTGCTGGTCCACTGAAATTTCCTACATATTTAGCATTTCAATGGGAAAAATCTGGCATGAAAGAACACATTACATGAAAACCTCTCTAAAAATTTGATCAATAATGACAGTATTGTCCATCGACTGAACACGGTCCTTTTTTACTTCTTTCCTCCCTTGGCAGATGGACTGTCGAATGTGGAAGGGGCCCACAATGACTGCTTGCAAGCCAGTGAGACCTGCATCAATGACCCCAAGTGTAGCCCCAAGTACAGGACGTTTCGCCAATGCATGGCAGGCAGCAGTGCTGCTCCGCTTGGGCCCGGAGCCAAGAACCAGTGCATGAGTGCGGTCATGTCACTCCTGTCCAGCCCGCTGCACAACTGCAAGTGCAAACGAGGTATGAAGAAGGAGAAAAACTGCCTTGGGATCTACTGGAGCCTGCATCAGAGCATGGCACAAGGTTAGTCCTTCCAACCTTTCTTTCTGGGCTGTGTATAGTGACTCTTCCAAGTGCTGGCCAGGGCAGAAATGGACAGATCATTCTTGCATCAGTCACGCAATGCTATAAGTGACTGGGATTGACTTCACTCACATATCTTGTAGAATGTAACACCCTGCACTCACTGCACTTTGCTAGAAAAGCTAACCCTGCTTTTGTCAGGGGTATGGTAGTTTCAGTCATGTTTGCTATTGTTTGTGAGGGTTCATCTTAGATATTGTTATTATATTTTAATCACTCGTGGGATGTGGGTGTCAGTGGCTGGGACTAACCTTGAGAAAGCGGTAGTGAGCTGCCAACTAGAGCTATTGTTGTCCATGTACTGTCGGCAGACCCACAATACTCTTAGGGAGGGAATTCCATGACTTTGACCCAGTGGCACTGAAGGAATGGCAATTTATTTCCAAGTCAGGATGTTAAGTGGCTTGTAGGGGAACTTGCAGGTGGTGGTGTTCCACGTATCTTCTGCCCTTGTCCTTCTAGATGGAAGTGATCATGGGTTTCAACACTACTGTCTGAGAAAATTTGGCAATTTCCTGCTTTTCATCTTGTAGATAGGACACACTACTGTTACTGAGTGTCAGTGGTGGAGGGAGTGGGTGTTTGAGGACGTGGTTCCAATCAAGTGGCCTCTTTGTCCTGGATGGTACCAAACTTCTCGAGTGTTGTTGGAGCTGCACCCATCCATGCAAAGTGTGCATATTCCATTACACTCTTTATCTGGGCCATGTAGATGGTGGACTGGCTTTGAGGAGTCAGGAGGTAAGTAACCTGCTACAGTATTCCTAGCCTCTGACCTGCTCTTGTAATCATTGCACTTGTACAGCAAGTCCAGTTTCTGGTCAATAGTAACCCCTGGGATATTGATAGTAAGGGATTCTGAAAACTAGAGGGAAGAAATGTATTGTTACAGTAACAATCCAAGGCCTTCCCTTCTGTGGCTTTGTTACTCAATGCTGGAGTGGTTTCAGAGCCTGGAAATAAATGTGGCTGGTAATTACGACACCAGTTGGGAGTGTCTTGATAGCATAGAACTTGAGTAATTGCTGAAAAGAGAGATGTGTTCTCAAAACATTTCATCTTGCACTCATCAGGACAAATTCAAGAATGCCGAATTTCAAATGATCACAGCAATTTATACTAGAGGAGAAAAGGGATACTGATTGGTGGGAAGCTGGTCTGGCCAACATGTGACTCCAGGTCCATAGCACTGCCTCCTAACTACCCGCTCAAATGGCCTAACAATACATTCAATTGTATCCAGTTGAAAAGTAAAAGTTCTTCTGAACCACCTGAGAAAAGCTAGATACCAGAAGTAATAAAGGTGCACTCTGCCCAGTTGCCACGGCAAAGTCGTCCTCACTAACATCTGGGGCCTTGTGCAAAAGGTTGGGAAACTAGTTAAGCAATGGCTTGACTTAATCACATCAAATCATACTTCACAATATCCTAGACTCCTCCACCACCATTCTTGGGAGTGCCCTGGGTAGATATGCAGTGGAGGGGGTGTAGCCTTGGTGCGCACCAAGGTGACCGCAAGCAACAGTGCAGAGCCCTGACTCCCAGCAAAGGACAAGCTCAAGTTCAATCCCAATGATGACTGTCATGAAACAAAAACAGAAATTATTGGAAAAAAACTCAGCAGTTATGGCAGCATTTTCAAGTACTGTGTACAGTTCTGATCACCCTATTATCGGAAAAATATTATTAAATTGGAGGGGGGGCAGAAGGCTGTTACTGGGACTGGAGGGTTAGAGTTTTTAGGAGAGGCTGGATAAGTTTCCTCACAGGAACGTAGGAGATTGAGGGGTGACCTTATAGAGGTTTATGAAATCATGAGGGACTTAAATAAGGTGAATTTCCAAGGTCTTTTCCCCAGGGTGGGGGAGTTCAAAACTAGAGACCATAGGTTTAAGGCGAGAGGAGAAAGGGTTTAAAAGGGACCTGAGGGGCATCAGAGGATGTTGTTTGTATGGAATGAACTGCCAGAAGAAGTGGTAGAAGTAGGTACAGTTACAACATTTAAAAGACATTTGGACAAGTGCATGAATAGGAAAGGAGGTTTCGAGGGATATCGGCCATACGCAGGCAAACTTGGTCAGCACAGGCAAGGATTGAAGGATCTGTTTCCGTGCTGTATGACTCTATTACTCAATCTGTGGAAAGAAACCAGAGTTAACTATGGTTTCTGTGCACAGATGCTGCCAGACCTGCTGAGTTCTTCCAGCAATTTCTGTTTTTGTTTCTGATTTCCAGCATTCTCAGTTCTTTCAGTTTTTTGTGTAATGACCATGATGAAGATTGTTCTCTGTGAATCACCTGCTAGTATGGCCTATACTGTTGAGCTGAGGGCTGATTCTGTTTTACTGGCAGATTCTGCCCCAAGCTGGTGCACCTCTATCCAGAGTGCTGTATCATGCTTTGTTTACAGGCTGAGTTCATTGTTATAACTGCTCACAGCTCTAAGGCAGAAATAAATTGACTATAGAGAGGTAAAATAACTTTTAAACCTAAGTGTGGGGGACCGTAAAAGAACAAACACCTTCCATTACTGAAGCAGAGTGGCAGCAGTATGCACCATCAGGAGGATCTAATTGAAACTTACAGAATACGGAATGGCCTGGACAGAGTGAATGTTGGGAAGATGCTTCCATTGGTAGGAGAGACTAGGACCCAAGGGCACAGCCTTAGAGTAAAGGGAAGACCTTTCAGAATGGAGATAAGGAGAAACTTCTTCAGCCAGAGAGTGGTGAATCTATGGAATTCACTGCCACAGAAGGCTGTGGACACCAGGTCATTGAGTACATTTAAGACTGAGATAGATAGGCTCTTGATTATCAAGGAGATCAAGGGTTACGGGGAGAAAGCAGGAGAATGGGGTTGAGGAACTTATCAGCCATGGTTGAATGGTGGAGCAGACTCGATGGGCCGATTGGCCTAATTTCTGCTCCTCTATCTTATGGTCTTATAGCCACTTACCAATGCTCTTGAGACAACACAATCTCTGGGAGCAGAAGATTCCAAACCAGCTGGGCTGGGGTGCAGCTAATTCTGCTACATACATCTTCAGCATTATTGCTGGAATATTTTCAGGGCCCATAACCTTTGCAATATCCAGTGTTTTTACCCATTCCTTGATATCACGTAGAGTGAATCAATTTGGCTAAAGGCTGAAGGTGCTGGAAGATCAATGGAGGAGGCCAAGATGGGTCATCTGTTTTGCACTTCTGGCTGAAGGTGGTTGCAAACGCCTCAAATAGACTCCCCTCATCATCAAGGATGGGAATATTCCTGGTTCCAACACCCACTACAAGTTAGTTTAAACCCACCATAGTAGCACAACAAACTGCCCTAAAAGGAGATAACGCGGTGTAGAGCTGGATGAACACAGCAGGCCAAGCAGCATCAGAGGAGCAGGAAGGCTGATGTTTCGG